CCTGCACCAGGTGAGGCTCACGGAGGCCGGGTGGGCGGCAGGGGGCGTTGTGGGGGCAGCAGGAAGGCTGCACAGAGCTCCAGGGGCCTCCAGCCTCAGCCACCACCCCCTCCCCAGGGACCCCACCGGGACCACACGGCCCCTCCCTCCCTCCCTCCCAGCGCCCCGCCCTGGGTTCAGATATCCCTGGCCGTGTGGCCTTGGGCAAGGCCAACTTCCCCTCCCTTCCCCCCCCTCCCGGTCCCTTCCAAGAACAAACTCAAAGGAAACTGGCGCCGCCCCGGCTTCCTCCGGGGCCACCCCAGGGGGTGGCAGCAGCTTCTGCCGCCCAGGGCCCCACGCAGCCTGAGGCGCAGGCACCCCGAACCTCAGGCTTCAGCTGCTTACCCGTGTGGCCAGAGATGCAGGCCCAGCTTCTGAGCAGCTCCCCCTCTTCACAGGAGGGGAGGGCCAGACCTGTGGCCACACCTGTCCTGGGGCCCCAGCCCCGGGCCGGCCCTCTGGGCATAGCCAGCAGGCTCCTACCTGGACGCCCCTGGGCCCCGGGAGGCAGGCAGAGCCTCTGGCCGAGGGAGCTGTCCTGGAGGGGCCCGGGCTGAAGGTGGCCTGTGCTGGGGGTTCCAACTCGGGCCCCCAGGCTTGGGAACTGGGGGTGGGGTGAGGTTCTCGGAAGACTTGGTGAGCCCATACTTTGTCCACACTCAGCGGCAGGCCTGGGGCTCTCTGCCCTCCCCCCATGAGACCCACCCGGGGCCGGAGGGGGACAGGGCAGGCCTAGGTCCCCAGCCCAGCTGCAGGCACAGGGAGGGGCTGAGGGGAAGTGACTCAGACACACCCACGTGGTCACCTGGTAGGGAAGGTTTATTAAGATTTAACCGCAGAGTTACAGCAAAACAGATCCAGGGAGGCCCTGGGGGGAGGCCAGGCCGGCCTGTGCGTGGAGATGGAGTGCTCCACAAACAGCCGTGTGCACAACAACGAGGCCGACAAGCTCAGCGTACCTGGAAGGAAACAACACAACCAACCGAGGGCTCCGCGTACAGACACGCAGACATCAGGCCACTTCTCACCACCTAATAAAAAAAGTTAATATGCGGTATTACTCTTCTTTACAATCCCTTTTCCTCATAAAACACTATGTGTTTAACACACACTTACATCGTTGCTAAAACCAGCAAGAGCTAGTACACCGCCCCCACTTAGTAAGTTGGTAAGAAATGTTGTCCTGTGGCCAGTTCACAATGGAACTAAACAGTGTCGTTCCGAGATGCCAGGGGAGTTTCTCGAAACAAGAGGCACTTCCAGCAAACGGGTCCTTCCGCCACCAAGAGACCGTGTCAGTCCGTGGCACAAGGAGATGTGCCCCCGGCAGCCCAGGGGAGAGCCAGCGGACTCAGCAGGTGGGGGGTGGGCACTCAGCTCTGCCCGAGGTCCCGGTGGAAACAGCCGGCTCCGGAGGATGGGCTGGCCAAGGGGCCGTCTCAAGACTCGGGGTTCGGCCGGAACGGTGGCGGCTGGCTTCCCGCGAGGAGGTAACGCGCAGCTTTGAGGCTGGGCCCCCAGATGGGCCGCGTGTGCAGGGCTGGGCCGCATCAACCCCACTCCCCGTGGGCGCTGGGCTGAGTCCCCCTCCAGGAGTGCTCGGGAAGTGGCCCCGAAGCAGGCAGGAAGATGGATGCCCGCGGATACAACACGACGAGACGGGTCTGTCCCCAGCAGCGCCATCCCAGAGGACGGGCTGCCAGCGCCCTCACTGAGGGTCAGCCGGACAGTGTCTCTCGCGAAGCGGGTGTGGGTCAGTTGTGAGCTGCGGGTGTTTTACAAGCTTGGTCGGTGACAGGTGCTGCCATCTCCAGCTGCTGCAGGCACCATCAGACCCCGAAGGGAACAGTCAGCACCTCCTCTAGTCGTCAGACACCCACGGAAGCCATCACAGGCTGCCAGGCTGTGCCACCCCGGGGGGCTGGACAGGAAGCCCCGCCCCTCAGCCCGAGCTCAGCTCCCCTCCACGTCCTGCTTCCTGCAGCCCCCCACACCGGTTGCCCTTTGGGGATTTGGGGGTCAGAGACCCACTTCCCACACACTGGTACCTTTAAGGAACACACCTGAGCACCTCTGGGCTGGGGGGAGGAGGGGCGCTGGCCAGCCCGGCCTGGCGCTCACAGGGGCTCCAGGACCTCCAACCGGGGGTGGGGGGAGTGGGGGCCGCGGATGCTGCCGGCTGAGACGCCTGCCCTCAGCCACCCGGAGGGTCACAGCGGCGCTCTGCCAACAGAACAGGGACGAAGGGGTGCAGAGGCAGGCGGCCTGGCCTGACACGACAGCCTCCCCCCACCCCGGCTCCAGCACAGTCCAGACTTGGGCTGCACGGGTTCGGGTCTTCTCCTTGATTTTTTACTTCGTTGACTTTTATAGGGAACCAAAGTGCAAATCAGACCCACGTTACCCTGTTTTGGTAACAAGCCCATTTACACTACACAGCAACCAACTGCTGGCCACACTCCCAGCCCACGGACCTGTGCCCACAAACCCCGGGACCCCTGTCCCGGGCATCGACACCTGCCAGCCCACCCAGCGGGCACGCGCGGGCCTGTCACAGAACCCTCTGTCACCAGGCCAAAGATGGCCTGCTCTGGGACGTTCTCCTGCGTCCCCCCGGGGCCCACCTGAGCTACCGCATTAGAAAACACCGCCTCCCACCCCCGCCGAGCCACAGAGCGCAACCACGTTGTGCCCACGGCCGGCTCCTCCTCGCGGCTCTTAAGACACTCAGTGCGATCCTGACGTGTCACCGCGAGGGCGGGCAGAGGCGCCCCTCTGTGCTTGCACCCGGGACGAGGGCCCAGGAAGGCAGCTCCGGAGACCGACTCTGATCCAAACCACAAGGCACCTCCCTCTCCTCGCAGGTCTGCACAGACCAGACCTACGGAGTGAGAAAGACTGGTCTTAAACATCCACGTTCGACAGCTACTGAAGCACCTCGGCCCCGGGCCGGCTGGTCCTGGGAGGGCTGCACTGTTCCTCTTCTAACAGGGGCCTCAGGCACGTGTCCTCTGGGGTCCTTGGTATTTCAGAGCAGGGTGAAGTGGAAGGCTGGGACATCAAGGGCTAACACGCTTTGATGACAGTGGTCCCACCGTAAGGCCCTCGTGCCTAAACGCCGAGTCCCAGCCAGGCCTCGTGAGTCCGGCCCTGGGGGGAGGCGGGCGGCCCAGAGGCACATGCTCCTTCACTTCACGTCTGGATTCGGGACTGTTCCACCACCACCCGCATAGTCCACTCCCCTGCCGCCCACTTTTCCCACTTTTCTGGCCGCAGGGAGACCCCTACGGGGCAGGCTGGCTAGACGGAGGCTGTGCCCTGGAGGACCCTCCTGGGGCCCTGAGAACCAACGCAGGGGGACCCAGGGCCGCAGAGCCGTCGGGGGCTGGGGTGAACTGGATACAGGGACCTGCCCAGGGTGCCCAGCCCGGCTGGCGCAGGAGGCTGGGGCTTTGTGCCCAGGCCAGCGGCGCTTCCAGCAGCAGGACAGACTCTCCCTGTCCGAGCTCCACATTCACGCGGCCAGCCTCACGCGTGAACATGCGGAAACGCTCGCATCCTGGTTGCCAGCCCTCCGAGGCCCTGGGCTCCCGAGTGGACGGGCCCCGCGGGTCCTTAGACGCAAACAGGACCTGCACAGCACAGCACGCCACACCACCGGCGGCTGGGAGACACGGCGCGGCCAGAGGCTGGCCAAGTACGCTAGACAGCCAGTCCTTGGAATACACAGAAAATTCAAGTAATTTATTTAAAAACTGCTTAGTCTCATCTTGAAATATATATATATGTATGTATATATATTTGCTTTAGAATGATCATATTGCAGCATGATTGTTCATGCATCCTAAAGTTCTTTATTTAAAAAACAACTTGAGGCAGCGAAGTATTACCGTCGTCTGTGTCCAGGTGACACCAGGAAGCTTAGACTGACCATTCCAAGTAAGAAAAGCAGAAACTCCTCAGTTATAAAGAGACTGTGGTTTGGAAAGCATTCCCAAGTAGCTGCAGCATTTTGTGACTGTACTTTCCCCAAAGTCCAGGTTTGGCTTAGACGCTGAAAGCAGAAAACACCGCCAGAGTCCTCTGGGGGAGTGGACCTTCCTTCGGGCCCAGACACTTGCTTCACTTTGCCACTGCTCCAGTCCCAGCATCAGCGGGGGGAGCAGGCGAAGAGGTCAGAAGAGGTCAGAGGAGTCCCAGCATGAGGAGTTCACACGCGCCGGGGCAGCGCCCCACACACCCGAGGTAGGCCTGGCGGCAGGACCCAGGGGGCAAGGCCACGCCTGGAGCTCTGCCCTCATGATTTCCCCAACAAATGGTTTAAACACGAGTCAAAGTGCAATGAAAGAGTCCACCACCTCTCAGGGGTCCGGGCATGGACATGCGCGCCCGCCTACCAGGGGGCCCATCTGCTAAGTTGGAACGCTGCCCGCCGCGGGTGCCCATCCCAGCCCGCCGTCCCCGCAGGTCACCCTCCGATCACCCTCTCCCACCCACGGGGTCCCTGGGGCCCTGCCTCCCCGGGGGTGGGGGTGGGGGTGGGGGGCGGCTGCCGCCTCCCACTGCCCAGAGGCAGGCCTGCTACTCGCGCCATCTGTCAGAATCTCTGAGGAAAAGAAGAAACGCTGTTTCGTCTAAGGAAACCAGTTTTGAAAGAAAAAAAATGGTTTTCTAAAACGATGATGAAGAAAAATACTCTCCAATAACTGCAGCACCAACAAAACGTGAGATCTGACAGAAAGTCCCGACGCCTGCAGGCGTCCAGAGAGGTGTGGAAAGGTTCAGTCACTGGCTACACGAAGGACAGCACGTACTTTAGTTTTCAGTTATAACCTTGGAAATGAAAATCTTACTTTTCTCTAAACTGCTTGTGTCTATTGTAAATCTGACTTATAATTTTAAAAACATGCAGAGTAATTACCTGCGGAATAAAAGAGTTGAAATCAGAAGATCCTTTTCAATTAAAAAAAAAATATTTCAAATGATTTTTTTAATTGTGGAAAAAGTAATTAGCGTGGTGTCTTTGCCTAGTGGCTCAGGCCTACCCTACCACCACCGCACCCCCACCCGTGTTGTAAAGGGACTCTGTGCTGCCACCAAAGCAACAGTGACCACCCCTGCCCCCCCCCCCCCCCCCCCCCCCGGAATGTGTGTGCACAGGGGCGAGGCTCAGACCACGGACTCCGTCTCCACCAGCCCCTGCGGGCCCTGCTTCCGGGAGAGCGTCAGCACAGTGGGCTTCTGGCCGCCGTCCCCGCCGTCACCTGACGGCTGGCGCGACAGGCCTTTCTGCTCCTCCTTGGCCTCCTCAGACACCTCCGGGTAGATCACCAGGAACGTGGCTGTCAGGAAGCCCAAGAAAGAGCCCACGGAGGCCACCACGGGAATGACACGCACGCTCCCAACGGCGTCCACCACGCCCCCGAGGGCGGACGCCACCAGGATCTGGGAGATGTACACTTGGCAGGAGAGGATTGCGCAGTCTATGCCAAAGCCGCGCCTGGAGTTCCCGGGGCTGTGGTGCACATACTGCAAGAGAAGAGAGCACAAGAGTGAGGGCCGTGGCGGAGGTGGGGGGCTGAGCCGTCGGTCAACATCCCTGTGGTTCAAATTATTAGCTCAGAAGTCTGGAAACAAAACTTGCCTTCCACTCAGCTGCTTGGCGACCACTCAGCCTGTCTCCCTGACCCCGTCCCACTTCTATTCAACATTGCATTGGAGATTCTGGCCATTGCAATAAGGCAAGGAAAATAAATAAGATGTATTAAGGATTGGAAAAGAAAAAATAAATCTTATACACGGATGATGTGATTGTGCGTGACGTCCAAAAGAATCCACAGATATGCTGTAAGAATTAATAGAAGAATATACCGTATTTATGAGTCGAAAGGCTCAGTACTATAAAGTTTATAACTCTCCCCAAATTCATCTATTTAATCAATGTGTTTCCAATGCAAAAGCCTAGAAACTGATCTAACTTTTAGATGAAAAGTAAACCGTCAAGAACACCCAAGACAATCATAAAGAACAACAAAGTTGAAGGACACACAGCACCAGGTTTCGGGTCTTACTACGAAGCTACTCAGAACAGTAGAACACTTGTCTGAGGACAGACCAGCCAGTGGAAGAGAGGACAGGGGGACCAGAAACAAGGGTGCCACCCAATGCCAGCACCAGCAGCACGGAGCACAGACTGTGGCCACATGGGGAGAGACGAAAGGGGAGGAAGAACCGCCCTCTCTAAGCACAGGCGTGAAGTCGAAGCAGATATTCCAGTCGCACAAGGTTCAAACACTGGCAAGATGACTACACGGGGTCAGAGGTTAGGACGAGGCCCAGCTTTCCGTTGTTTCTGGGTCTGCATTAGTTCTTCCAGTTTGTTTTCCAAAAATCCACTAAGCTCTTCACTTACAGTTTGTGTACTTTTCTTGTAGTCATATTATGCTCCAACTAAAAAGCTTATTTAAAAAATAATGCTGTTCTTTGGATTTTCATTAGTTTGGTATTTGGTAGGAACCTAATCACAGTGGATTTACTTTGCTTCTATAATTGTGCAAGAGAAGATTAAACATAGCTTAGGCTTAGGAAGAAAGAAATCCGAGCTTTTTTGTGTTTCTTCCTTTCCTTTTAGGGTCTGTGTTTGAAGTCTGAGAACCACGGTCTACACCAGCACTGTGGCTACTGAGCACTTTGAAAGATGGCTGGTCTGAATCGAGAGGAACTGTAGGTATGAGATACACACTCATTTCAAGACTTGGGGAGAATAATCAATATTTTATACTGAATGTGTTGAAATAACGGTGTTTTGGATGTACTGCGATAAACAAAATACACCATTAAAGTGATTTCACCTGTCTACTCCCTCTTCAATGTAGCTACTCAAAGCACAGACTGACCCAGGTGCCTCACGCTCGACTGGACAGGATAGTGCTGGCAGTCCTCAGGGGTCTGTGAGGGGACAATAGGTGCCCAGCCAAAATCCCTCAAGATGCAACTGAAGCCTCCAGGCAGGTACCAGTGACCCAGGCCACTGAAGGTACAGAGCATTGCAGCCAGGAAGCCTGGGCCCCAGACTGACCCAGGCAGGTGGCGGCTCTTGTGGGTCCCTTCAGAACCAGAGACCTAGGGGGATCACCCCAAATGTCCCCCAAGTGGAAGGTACAGAGCTCTGCCTCGAGATGAGTGGAGAAGAGCATGGGCTTTGGAGCCAGATGGGTCTGATGATGTGACCTGATGTACACTTTGGGCTGGTGACCTTGTGCCCCAGCACTTCATCCACTGTCCCCCGCCCCCCAGCCATGGACGCACCTCCTTGATGTCATGGTACTGCCCGAGCAGGGCGTAGGGGCAGTAGGAGATGCTCATGGAGACTATGCCCATGGTGCTGATCATGATCATGGCGACATAGACGTTGGCAAACATGGCCATCACGGCTGTGCCGATGGAGAAGCCCAGAGTCCCCAGCACGTAGATGACCCTGATGCTCAGATCGTAGTTGTCCAAGTACTTCTGTAACAGGGCTGTAGAGAGAGTGTGGCCACAAGGCCCTGAGCTGCGTGCCCACCTCACTCCCGTCGGGCGCCCCCCACCACACCCCGCCGCCTCTACTCCACGGAGGCTCCTTCGATGCCCACCTGCCCCCACATCGCGGCCCACTCGCCCCCAACAGCTTGCAGCAAACCGTGCCTCACTCAACTCCCCGGGGCTCCAGCACCTCAGACGTGAGCCCTCCTGGGTCCCAGAGCCCGGAGCCTGGTCCCATCCTGCGGCTCCCTGGGGCTTCCCCGCCCCGCAGGCCGGCCTGGCCCAGACCCTTCCCACCAGTCCAGCCCCACACCCAGTCTTGACGTGGGATCTCGAGTTGTGGCTGGTTTCCTCACGGGTAAACCCCTGGGTCTAGAGGGACAGACTCCTGCTGACCCTTTCTGACCCAGCGGCTTAATGTTACCTCCCCCAGGAAGCATCTCTGAGGCTTCCTGAGAACTTCTCTGTCAAACACAGACAGTGCTGTGGTGACGGTCAGGCGGGCTTCCCACTGCTTCATGGCCTTCACCTTGGCCATCCTCAGGTCCAGGCCAGGCTGAAACAAAGCTGACCTCCCCCTCCACGGTTCATGTAGAAAATGGGCAGGACCTAGGCCAGACTTGTTTAGGGGACCCCGGACCCTGACTGTGCCCCATTTCCGGAAGGTGTGCCTAAGCATGTCACCCCGACCCCCATCCTCAAGGATAAACTGCACCTCCAGGGAAAGGCCTCTGCCCCACGGCAAACTGCTCCCACAGCCACCCTGACGGCTGCAAACACACCTCACGCCCTCATACAGGTCTTGGGATGCCGGCACCACCTCTCCCTGTCCTCCTGGCTGAGATGCAAAAGACCCCTCTCCCAGGCTTGCGGGCACGGTTCCTGGAGTTCCCCCGTTCCCCTGACCCCATCCCCAGCAGAGACCCTCTCTGAGGAGCCCCCTGGCAGGAACCAACACACACAGGACAGCCTGCATGGGGTCTCGGGATGCCCAATTCTAGACACACAAGTTTCCATGTGTCTGCCCCTGAACAACAGTCCTGTTCAAAGTCAGGCCCGCCTTCCCAGCAGGATGACCTTGGCCCTATTTCCCGTCGCTGAGCATCGCCCAGGGAGCAACGCTTCTCCACCTTGAGGATCGCTTACCTGAGCAAATTGCACCAGTGGCCGCGTAAATCACCAGGCCCCAGCAGCCCATCTTCACGCCAGCGTTGTAGGCCTGCCAGGAGGTCGAGTTGGAGGGGGCCTGTTCCAGAAATGAGACTGCGGTTCAGGGGGGCAGGGCTCACGTGCCACACCCTTTGGGCAAAGAAAGTGACTTTACGTCTCAACTGCAGGCAGGCTGTTCACTTTACAAACAGTGATGAACGCTACACTGACCGACAGGAGACTCAGCCACAGTCCCGGCTGGGCCCCGAGCAGGCGGTGTTAACCCCCC